TTAAGTTCATTTCAATAATTCACTTCCATTGCTTGTGTGTAAGGGTCTTTAGGAGTGGGAGGAAACAAAGAGGACCTGAAGAAAACCCACAGGGATGGACACACAATCCTACTCTGTGTCCTTGACTCAATAACATACCTTAAATTGCACACATAAGATAACTACAACCAAAAATTGCCAATCAGAATATTTTTAACAACACTAAAAGATGATGCTGGCTTATTTTATAAATTGTCTACTGGGGATGCCAGATGTAGTAAAATTGTCAATTCAGTATTTCATTGGAAATATTGATCAGAATTGAACCATTTTTACAAGACTGTAGTTCGCAAAGGGATTCAAAATTTCTCAAATGATGATCCCTTGCTTTAAGAACATCTGGTTAACCCACCTGGGAGCTGTGTATTAGACTGAGAAAGAGAAATGGGGTTTGACGGCCACAAGGCTGGACAGGCAACCATACCACATTTCACATACAAGCTGGAAATCGGAAGCATGTCAGTTGACGCAATGACAGTGAGGGAGAAATGGGGTTTAATGTCCACTTGATATAAACCAGGTCATTTTGGGACTAACATTTGATTCAATTTCATTTCTATTATTCGCTTGCCCATAGGGGTCTTTAGCAGTGGGAGGAAATCGGAGGACCCAGAGGAAACCCACAAGGTTGGACAGGCAGCCCTTCTCCTTGTCACGTACAACCGAGGGATCGAAACCATGCCAGTTGACTCAATGACAGACCTTATAATACAACACGTGCATGTGTTAACCATCCAACCCCTGACTCAATGACTGACCTTATGATCTAAAGTGCAGATGGAAAATTCAACCACCCAACCCACCCAGCTGTATTAGACTGAGAAAGTAGACTACAAAGATATACTTACCCTTCTAACATAACCCACTGATGGATGATATTTTACAGGCATTAATAATAATTTTAGACGTTTAAACATCTGTACACTTCCTAATGATACTATTCCCAAATAAAGAAACACACCAAATAAAACAGCCAATGGTATAGCTCGTATCAATGGTCCCATCGTTAATGATACCCCTAAAAAAATAAATCAAAACAAAAACATCATGTTAATTGCTGCAACACAGTTTTAAAACACTGATTTATGCAAGTAGAATGCATTTCAGGTGAGCATTTAAAATATCAGTAAATTCTGCAATCAAAAACATTCAGTCATTGGACAATTTACAATCATTAGAAGTTGTTTAATCTTAGACTAACATCAGAGCCGGAAGAAAACCACAAGGTTAGCAAAGCCATTTTACTTTTCATCACATAAAAATGCATGATAAATCTCATCATTGCATAGATGACACACACACACAATCCACTCAACCAACAAATCCGAATGACAAACCCATGGAAAAAACACACAATATTTTCAGATAAGTACTAAACAAGAAACGATTATATATGTATATATAATGAAATGAATAAATCCAGGGGTCTGGAGTAAGTGTCCACTGAGCTGTACAGTCCTGTGTCTGTAGTAATACAGGCGTCACTCAAAAAGGGGATAATCGATTAAACATTCCCGAATTAAATTCTCTCAATCAAGTGAAAAGGACGATTTTGGAGTACAAAGCTTGTGCCGACTGCATCAACCAATCATGACAGCTGAAACATATTTGTTACTTACAATACGTCACGATTCTACTCACACCACCTCAGCTGTCGGGACTGCAGGACTGCAACAGGGCTGAATTCTGTATCACTTGATTACAATTCTGCCAATTCGGGACGTTCCGGACAGATAATCGAGCACCCCCCAATGTAAACACTCATAATAAGGGAGACAATTAAAGAAGAAAAGGGGAATATTTACCTATCATGACACTAACTAATATACCAGTTAGTCTCTGTTCCTTTACTTCTATTAAACGTGGTTTTTCACCTGGAGCATGGGTTCGACTCATAACACTGAGCGAAGATACATGAGCTATTGTTCTCACAGTTGCTGCACACATCCACGGTAATCCATACAAACCACACACAAATGTTAGTACACCCATTATAAACTGATCCAGATGAAATCCGGATCCTTTTTTTAATTTACGATCTTTTTTATTCAGGATCACCCTATAAAAGATGATAAGAATAAGGAATGTAGAGAGGTTTATGTTTCATAAACACAATTCTTTTTTTGTCATTTTAAAGCCTCAATTCACAAAAAAGGTCCTTATCCTTTTTAAAATTTAACAAAAATAAAGGCTGAAAGGTTTTCTTTAGATGGCAAACCCACAATATCTATGTTAGACCTTTGATGTTCAGAGAAAGATGAAGCCATGGTGGCTCTATGGTGATGGCTGGCTACTTCAATCTCAGTGATGGGCGAGAAAGTTCCTCAGAATTTGGAATCTTGGTTTTTCCTTGTCTGTAGTGCAGGACAGAGCACCTACCAAGCATTCAGGTCTAGTTATTCAGATGGGATGGAAAACAAAGATGGCATTTTAACCATAATATTCATAGATAGAAATGAGTTATTCTTCATTAGCTAATTCTCATTCTAAGACAATAAATGAAATGAAATGGGGTTTAACGTTCTACTCCGACTAACGATACCGTGCATACGCAATACAGTGTGCTATGACTTTCAACTGCCAAGGGATCTTGTACATGCGTGCCAATGTGTACACAGGGCCTCGGTTTTTCTTCCCATCCGAATGACTAGACAGTTGTACTATTCTAAGACAGAAATTAATAACATTACGAAATAAATATAAAGCAACTGAGTACTTTATATGACCACAACTTGCAGTTCAATTGATTGATTTTAATAAGTTGTTTACAATTATGCTTTTTGATAAAACTACTTTTTATTGTAATGACACTTACTCTGTAAGTTGAATCTCCATAAAGAGCAAAATAAATATAAGAAAGGCAGGAATAATGGCGCCAAATATCATCCAAACTTCAACAGGTTTCTTCATACCAAGTGGATTTATAAACCAACCTCGTTTTTTAGGTGAAGTCGGCACAAAAGGACTTCCGATTTGTAATTTCTAAAAAAAACACAAAGAAAAAACATTGGTAATATCCTAAGGAGGCAACAAAATAGGACTTTCAATTCTAAAATTTTGATAACATCAATGCAAATGTGTGGAATAGTTGAAGAGATCAATTTGATGTGTCAAGGGAGATAATTTGATGTGCCAAGGGAGATCATTTCAAATTCTGAATAATCCCATATTTGCTGAATGCTCCACATAAATTAATGCCAGGAAACCAACCATAAGACCACTAATAGTCCATGAAGTTCCTCCTTCAACCTTGTGGAAACAGATTCCCCCAAAACACAAATTTTTCGGATTACAATGTGAATTACCCGGCTAGAATGATTGCACATCAATTAAAAAAGCAGTATTATTGTCAATTTATAAAATCCAACCACATCCAGTGTTTGCATGGAGTTAATTAACCATGCTATTACTACAAACTTATTCAATTTTACAAACCTCCATGTACCTTGACAACCAAACTATTATTTGTTAACAGTAAGTGATGTTATAGTTTTATTGAGGATGCTCGATCGAATGTTCTGGAATTGAATTCTGCCAAACCCAAAAATAGTGACAATTGAGTGGCAATGGGGATCTGGGGCTAGAACGCATACGTGGAGTGCATAAGAAAATATTTTTAGCCAACCATGACAGCTGAAACATATTCGTTGTGTTTAATTACGTCCGGATTCTACTCACACCACGTCCGTCGGCAAGACCGACAGAACTGTAACAGGACTGAATTCCGCGTCACTCGATTGTGATTCCCTCGATTTGGAATGTTTCGGACTGACAATTGAGCATCCCCATAAAGATAAGGAACATTATTCAAGAGTGCTGCAAGTATCGGAGCTTTTAAAACTGTTAAATTCTCAAAATTAATATACATCTTAAATAAAGGCAGATTAATAGGATTCTTCGAATCATCGCTTCTTTAAATTTAACATAATAACATTTAAGCTTATTAACAAATTTTCAAATTAATCTTGATATATAAATTTCCTACCTGAGTATAAACTTGATCCGTAACTAAATAATCTAAAAGCACCATTGATAATATTGCTAATAATATACCAAAATCACCTAAAGCTCTCCGCACCTAATAAAATAACATTTATATGATTTAATACATAGCTTACCCTGGAGGGTTAATACAAAAGCAATGTGAATTTTTCAAACTCTCCATAAATTTATTAAGAAGCCTTCGACATGCACACATGAAGCAAACATTGAAGGCTATGATAACCGTCATTTCGCCTGGCTCTTTTCTAAAAGACAACTGTTTATCAATCTGATTAAAACACAGATCCTATTTCGTTTCATTTTTTATAGTTCAAAATTTTGTTTTACTTGTCTTTACTACACTAGGATCTGGAAGAGTTGTTATATAACCGGTGTTTTGGATGATGTGAGGGATTAGCCAATGAGACGGTTTTTGACGTGAGGTGCACGGAACTGGGGATAAACCAAAGGAAACATCAACGCTGATTAAATAATTAAATGTCTAAGGTCACGGGGTCAAAAGCTGCTCATATGACCTCTGATGCAACCTTCCACTACGACCGGTTAGATCTTCATGTAGTATAGGCCATCGAAAGTATAAAAAAACAAACGAAATATAGATCTGTATTTTAATCAAGTTGACTGTTCATGAAACATATCATTTTTATAAGTGGCCTTATTTCTACTTACATGTCTTCCAAGAAATTTGCTATTACGACAAATTTTCAGGAACCAGGCAACCAGGAAAGTTCCAATACACAAAATAGTGGACATTAAAGCGGTATTGGGTTGATGTATTTTTTTATCCGCATAAAGAACATGATCGTCCTGATCAGGAGTATTATACGTTAAATTATCTAATGTTTGTACGGCTGGATAATAAGTAGAATTAAACGTGATATTATAAGCTGTAGAATTATATAGATACGGCATCGGCGTACTGACGTCACTTTCATTATACGTGGTAGGATAATGTGGCATCAACGGATGTTCTTGAAAAGTCTGAAAAAATACAAAATTAAAAGAATAAATGAAATTTGGGTTTAATGTTCTAATTTTCTGAACAAATCGTGAAAATGAAGATGGTGGCCATATGCCTTGCAGTGTGCTATGAGGGAATTTTTGTTTGCCTGTACAGTAGTCTCTCCATAAGGTTAGATCTATTTAATAAGACCAATTTTAAGTTTGATCAAAGGTCACAAGATGTAAACAGGGCTAGCGCTAATCCCAACACTAACCCTAACCCTGGACCTAGCCCCAATGCTTACCCTAACCCTAATCAACAATCTACTCCTTGTCACATTCAATCGAAACAAAGCCACATGACTCAATGACCAATCTGTTTCACAGAGGATTACGAAAGTCTTCTAATATCGCTGTAAAAGATGACTGCCTTCAAATCAACACGTGACGTCTCAATACGCGGCGTCAATCACTGGGTCAATGGCGCGTGCATTGTTTACATAAGACCTTACTGATTCGGGCAGAATGGAGTATTTTACTCATTTTAATACCCATTTACACTAAATAGGAAATAATTTTTACCTACAAATACGTCAAACTACTTTATTTTTAGAATTTAATTTGTCAGAGGAAAAAAGTTAATATTTGTGGCTCATTAAGTCGCATCGATGTCATCCTTATCAGTGATTGTCGCTGCCTAGCAGATATTCACTGCAGATCAGTGTGCTCAATGATACTTTAAACCATTAACCAGTAAATTGAGATGAGTTTGTATATTTGGTGTATCTACTTACCTTATCAAGTTTTTTAATAACTTCATAAATAAAGATGAGTGAGATCAATATGGCAAATATCTCCTCCGTAAATCGTGTAACATAACGAATCAAAAAACTTCCTTCAGCTGCTACAGTTAACGTAGATATTAAAAACACCCAGAATCCAATCCATGCTCGAAATGGCAGGAATTCTATATCATTTGATTCACAGAACTGAAAAATAAAATGGCAGGAATTTTATATCATTTGATATAGAAAATAAAATGTATGCCTTTAACAAGGTTTAATAACACAATATACATCTATTAGTGCTGTCACAATACAATACATATTGCGATTCAGGTGCTCCGATACAATTCATATCACGATTCATAAGCAGGTCAATATTTATCAAGAGACATCCGGATAAATAAATAATGATATTTTTAGTCCTGCCGATATCGAAGAAATAAAAATGTTTTATATCACGATATTGATGTGGATCAAAATTAGTACCAAAACAGTGTAAAAGTGTTTGTGTACCTACTGATAATGTGTAACGTGGATACGGTTACTTATTGAAGAAACAAAACACATAAAAAAGAACCGCAATACATCGATTCAGCAATATATTGTGCCAGCACTAACATCTATATAATTCACATTTCATACTTATAAAATGTCATCATTTAAATAGTTTGTGTAATCCGGTTTTTCACGGATAACAATTCGGACAAAAAAAACATTCAGATTTAAATAAATTGGATGTTAGATTTTATTCCTGCTTGGCCATTAATATTCTTAGAAAATCGATAAAATTAAGATTCCTGAGATCCTATAACCTGAAGAAATTAAAATTATGAGCTGACGACTTTCTGTTCAAAAGCCCAAAGTAAATTATATCATTCAAACATAATCGTATTTATTCGATGCCCATTATCAGTAGAGCCCGTTATCTTATACATGTACTTAAAGCGTTCAAAAATATTGTAAACAGGTAAATCAACCTACCTTATACAAAGATTGTTCAAATACTAATACGGGACCCGTTGCTCCTACTATTAATAACGGTTGTCCCGAAAAAAGGCCGAAAACAACACCACATAAACATGTACTTAATACTGTTTCACTTACACCCATTAGTCCTTTGGTTTTCTCACCTGAAAGTAGAGTAAATTAAACATACATTATGCACAAGCTAAATCTAACTATTGCAGGTCTTTCTTTAGGCCGGAAATATTATCTAAATTATTAATTAGACATTAAATAACTTATCCATCGAGACCATAATCAACTCTCGATGCCATTGTTAGCCTGTGATATTTAGTGGATTTGAATACATTTTATGATGGATAATTTAACATAAAAATGGATAATCAAGATTTGGTTTATCATCATACCAACGTTAGTAATGATGTTCAAGGATAGCCTAAAATTGAATTGCTAATATCTTGGTTCAGAGTGAAGCAATTTGACTAAAATTTTCAGTATATTCTGTTTTCATTATCCATTTTTTATCTATTATAGCGAGTACTGTAAGCTCTTTATCTAATCTTACCTAATGCCTCTTTAAATATATACAAAATTAATACATTTTGTGATGGCAGAATAAAAACGTTGAGAGAATACTCTTCGAATTGTTATATAAATAAATTATCAATTGCTCTTCTACAAGTATGGATCGCGGGTTTGATCTGGTCTTGACCGAGCCTGTTCATCAGGTTGGACAGGCGACCCTACTCCTTATCACGTAGGGCACACACGTGCTAACCATTCGTCCATCCACCCCCCTTCCTGCATTATAACTACGTACTGTAAATAAATCAAATCAATACTTACTGAGTATACCACCAAATGCGATACAAGGAGAGAGGCAGGCGAAAAATATAAATATAAAAGATGCTAAACATGTAATATTACACGCATCTTTAAAATCACTGAGATAGTACGGATATCTTCTTCTGATATCATTGATTAATCCACCAAATATACACTTTGTTCTCTGTAGAGGATCCGCAGGTATATGAGATTTTTTCTCTTTTTCTATTAATTCTGAAATATAATTACACATTTAAATATATGATTTTTTCTCCTTTTCTATTAATTCTGAAGTAAATAAATTTAATTATATATGTAACTTCTGTTGTTTCTCTATAGTCCATACATCAATAATAATTTGTATTTTAACAAATGCAGCATCCAACAACTATGTTTAATCACCAGAACTAGACAGGTATCATGCTCGAGATGAAATAAAATAGGGTTTAACATCCTACTTTTCAGCACTAACCAGCCTAATGAAAAAGGGCATACCTCATATAATGATCCTATCTAGAAAAAATAGTGTTTTGCAATAAAATACAGGAAAAAAAATTATCCAATGACAACAATAGTTCAAAACATTTTGAAACCTTTGAATGCACTAACAAATTGCACATGATATAGTTTTTTTTATCCCATCCGAACGATCAGAAAAAATCACCATGAGAGACTAGAGTCAGCCCATGCCAGGATTCTGCTCCAGTGGCGTAACTTTTTATCTTCAGAAAGCAACTTTATGTGGTGAGAGTGAGACATTAAGTATTATATCAATATATTACACAATGTCTTGCTAAATACCATTAAACATCTTACAATACAGACACTATCCTGCACATGCATTTCATCTAGTACTTGAGTGACATTTAGCGATTGAGCACATTAAAAAACACAACACAATATGAGTATAAAATAATGTACGATTGGCACGTTGCCCATACATCATTTGTAATAACGGTACTCCAAAATCAGAGGATGACGTCACTTTTGTATTTGAAGTTTTAAATTATTCTCAAGCATAAAACATTTCCATTCATACCTTCCTGCTCCTCTAGTTTCTGTTTTTTGCGTCGTCTGATGTGTGCTCTCTTCCTTGCCATGTCCATAATAGGTAAGAGAGTTTTCTGGTCCCAATCACCAGGTGGTAACACAATGGAGTCGTCAAGGAAACCATTAATAGCATGTAACAATTCCTCTCTACTCTCAGCTCTGTAGGCCACATCATGGAAAAACTAAAATATACAAATTATTTTTTATCTATTATTATCTATTTCCTAGAATTTCTAGCTTAACTCTTAAGTGACCCTGAGGTTTGATGTCACAGCGTCATAAAAACCACGTCATAATGGTAATCTGTGATTAGGAGAACAATATCACCGTTTTATTATAATTTGTCAAGAAGAAACAGTACGATATTTAACTGGAAGAAAACTAATGAGTGAAAGTGTTCTGTTTATAAGGGAAGCATCTCTCATTACGGTAGGGAAGTAGCATTCGGCTAACCGGTTTTGTAGATAAAGTCGCTATGGGTACTTAACAGGAACGTAATAGGTGTTGACAAAAGTCAACTTGGGTCATCTAAGAATTATTTGGATGGTTGTAAAAACCAAAATTTCATTGTTGGCAGGCAGACTTATAGGACTTGGGAAATGATGCAAAAAAGATTATTTAACCTTTTTTCTATGTAGAGTCATGTAATCAGGCCCCAAGTTCACAAAGCATTCTCAGACTTACCTTAAGGATTTATTCAACTTTCAATCAATGTTTATGAGAAATATCTTTGATCAAGAAACACAAAACCTTGTACATAGTTTCTTATTGATGTATTTGATACATTTAAACAACAAAACTTATATAAAGGGCTATATTAGGCGAACAATTTTGAGTAAATACTTAACTTAAATCTGAGAGTGTTTTGTGAAAATGGAGCCAGGACATATAATGGTGACTATTATTAGGTTAGAGATATTTTTGATAGTAAAAGTCAACTGTTCATAAGTGAATAGTATTTATTTTGCAGTGAATGTGAAGACAACCTAATATAAATATTACCTGATTGGTCATCAATGTTGACAATGATCTACCAACTTCATGATAATCCATTCCACTCTTCTCTGGTCCCAGTAAAATAAACACAAAACGAACAGGTAATGGAACTTCCGTCAAATTCTCCAAACAACGACCTTCTGATAATCTGACAAATGCCATGACTGGTTTCTGGAGAAAGTCAACAGTACCAACGAGTACGGTGCTGGCCTCAGATCCAGCAGGTATTCTCTTCATGATGTCTTGTACATTCTTTTTAGCAGGATCTTGCGGAGTAATACCAATATGAATAGATTCTGTTCGTGTCTGTCAAATAAAAGATATAGTAGAACAAAGTGAATAAAGCCTTCGCTTTGGTCAAATGATATTTTATATCAGGGATGCTATTTGGCCCATATATTCCAGACATTTTCTACACAATTTTCTAAACGTCTGACCAGAAATATGCCCAATCGGAAACCAAGATATGGTTAATAATATTGAAAATTCCAAAATATATTGACTTTACTGAGTGTATAACTACTACTAATATTGATTATCACAGACGTTTTCCTTTCATTTTCTGCTATATAAACAAAGATACATAATTATGGAGGAATATTACTGGTGTGAATTTGAAGCAGTTACGGGTTGGTCCACTTTTATTCTATGGTATTTCCAAAACAATTAATTTACTGACTTAAATTCAAATACCATACAGGAATTAAATATGAATACCTTCCTTTTTTGTATTCAGAATGTGATATGATACATAACATACAAATATTTGTAGTGGAAGTCTATTAAAGGGAAGAGAAGCTTATTGATCCTTTTCCTGAAGCTGACAAACAGCCCCAACTGAAAATGTCCGACGAGCAAAATTTTGAAATAGCAACCCTGGTCTATATGTTTTCAACATCAATAACATATAATTCCCAATAAATCTCCAGCTTACATTAGCCAAAGTCGGAGGAGACCCTTTCACACTTCATAAATAGTTTTAAATTTCAATCCATTAGAACTGAAACTTGACTTTTTAATTTCCATATACTTACTGTATTATTGTCAACATCAACTTTCACCATTTCAAGATTAGCTTTATCTTTTAATGGCTGTCTATCCTCATCTTTACTGTTTGATTTGCCATGATGAACTCCTCCTGATGATCCTAAAGTACTACCAAAACTGGCATTAGAGAAGGAACGGAGGAGAGAACCATGTTGTTTTTCACTTTGGTGTCTGTAAATAGAGTGAATATAAAAATATAACTCAACAGGATAAAACTTTGATTAATAAAAATATAATTGTTACATGCCTAGTAACAAATAAAGCTCATGCTCCAAATCGTTATAAAAATGCACTTTAATATATAACTTGTCAATTAAGTTTCTAACATGTATTTTTTGTGTGCATCAATGGTGAAAGTATATATATCAATAGAGATTATATGTGACAATGTTTCTCTTTTTATTTATCAAAAATTTCTTAGATCAGATAATATACCCAGCTATGTAAAATAGTATAATATACACAGGCTATGTATATACACTAGGCAATATACACAGGCTATGTATATACACCAGATAATATACACAGGCTATGTATATACACCAGATAATATACACAGGCTATGTATAAACACTAGATAATATTCACAGACTATGTATATAAACCAGATAATATACACAGGCTATGTATATACACTAGATAATATACACAGGCTATGTATATACACTAGGCAATATACACAGGCTGTGTATAAACACTAGATAATATACACAGGCTATGTATAATATACATAATATACACAGGCTATGTATAAACACTAGATAATATACACAGGCTATGTATAAACACTAGATAATATACACAGGCTATGGCAAATAAATTTGAGATCGTCCTACTGTAAGTACCACTATTTCATAAGCTACATATTTCAAACAGGAAACTACTAGTTCAGTGCTCCCAAACCTTGAGAACCCTAGGGACATTCAAACAAATCTCTGAGGACCCCCAACCCCATAATCTGCATTTACTCTGTTCAGTCATATTTCCTATATTAGGGGCATTAGGACCTTGATATGTGCCAACAATTTTCACATACATCTAATGTGAGCCAACTTATAGCCTGCAGACCCCTTTGATTTTGCAGTCCCTCCCACCCGGTTGGGAAGCACTGTACTAGAAACCTGTTGTATGACTGGACTAGTACTATACAATAAAATAAGGAATGAATGAACCTGAATGTATTGCTATATTACAACTATATGTAGTCTTATACATCCAGTAATATGTAGTCTTATAATATCTCCAGTAATATGAAGTCTCATTCATCTAGTAATATGACATTTATACACGCTTATGTTTACTATTGAGAGCTAGTCTAGTACATAGACCATCTGGAAGGCCAAGATCTTTGTGGAATGAATCTGATTAACTGTCTGGAAGGCCAACATCTTTGTGAACTGAGTTTCATTATCTTTACTAGCAGTACATAATATAGCCTGTATATGGACTGTCTGGAAGACCAAGATCTTCATGAATTGGTTTTATTATCTAAACTTGTATGGAGTACGACATATTTCAATTGAAACCAAGACGTAAACATTGTACTGTGTTCATGCAGTGTAAATTGTGTAAAACTACTTTCTATGAGGTGTCGTGAATGTTATGTATGACAAGCAAGCTGAGCATTCCATCAATTCATTCAATTTAAATTATAAATTTATTATTCAAGACATGCAGCCTATATTCAAGAAAACTTAAGCTAAAACATTTTAAGGATGAGCTTTTTTCATTAGCTAAGGGTTAAAATTCTGGTACTAATTTTAACTCTTATCAATTGTTAACTTTTAACAAATGAAACGGCTCCATTCATCAAATATTTTTGATTAAGTTCTGGTGAATAAGATCACTGACTTGCAGTATATCATTAGATTTAAAGAATTGCTGTGTCATTCAGAATTTCATTAAACATGCTATTCGTGACTATCATTCTTTAAACAATGTGAACAAGAGGATTTTTTTGATTTAATTCTTTAACTTGTCAGCCATGAGGGCACTAACTTGGATATATTTTTTTGTTCACCCAGTGTCTGAATTATACAACCTTGCACTCGTCACCACCATGTTATTTGAAGCCAAGCAAATAATTTATTATAAAATGTTTCATACTACAACCAAACAGAAATAAAAGCCAATAAATAAAAGTTGAAAATTTGCATTAATACAACCTATGTTGTATGTAAAAAAAAAAGCATAATTAGGATCCTGTCTGTAACAAATATAAGCATTATCTATAATTTATGTAAGCTTAATGAAGGATGTTATTATCCTGAAATGTATGTACACCCCCCCCCCCCCCAAATAAAAAGACAATAAAATTATGGCATTAAAAATTAAATTCCAATGAAGATGATAAGAGATGCAATGCATGAAGGAATACAATTGAACCATGGCTTTTATGGATTTTTCCAGGACGGTTTCCTCATAGTTTTCAAAACTGAATGAAATCAATAAATCCAACGATAATACATGAATAGGATTCAAATAAATAGAGGAATTATGTAATGATATATAATTAAGATATATGAAATGTAATGATAATAAATTTTACAATTGCAAATTTTGATGATGAAAAAAACTTTTCTTAAAATGTAAAAAATGATTGATAGGGTGCCAGTCTCAACTTGATATTAAAAATAATTATGAATAGGTTTCAAATAAATCATGATTAAAATAGATGATAAAAATTAAATAATAAACAAATAAACAACATGAACAGTAACATAAATAAAGCTAACAGGTTAGGTTAAATTATAATTAGTGGACAATATTAATACTAAAACCAACACCCATTTGAACATGCAGTTAGCAACTATTTATTACTTTCCTTCCTCGTTTATAAAAACCAATGTTACAAAATCATTCGACAATCGTCGTAATTTTTAAAATAGAATAAAAAATAATGGAGTATAAAGTGATTTTAAATCGACAAGAATTGATGAAAGACAATTTAGAAAAATGAAATGAAATGAAATGGAGTTTAACGTCCTACTGTTCTGCTCCTAACCTGGGCTAATGAAGACGGGCATACGCCATACAGTGTGCTATGAGGGAAATTTTGCCCGGACAGCGGCACTACGGCCTACTCTTAAATCGAATTCCAACTGCCAAGGGATCTTTTACGTGCACGTCAATGTGTACACGGGACCTCGGTTTTTTGTCCCATTCGAATGACTAGACAGCTTTCCTTGTCAGCCCCTCCGTCCTGCATCACTGACAAGGGAGAACCACGCCGGAAAATCTGGATGAACTTTCTCGGCCAATGCAGGGATCGAACACCCGACCTCCAGGCTAGCGAGCTAGCGAAAGACAATTTAGATAAACCCAAAAACATATTTAATTAATTTAAAGGAAGAACTGTTTTTGAAACTGTAAACGAAACATTAAACTAATAAGGATAATATTGAAGTCGTTTGACTTGTTGGTAGATCTTTATTTAAGGCTTGATACATCATTTAGCGATAAAGGAATTCCATATAAACTACAATATAATTGAAGTTTAATCTGTAATAGGATTTGTCTGCGATATCACCTCGGTGGAAGCGGACGTTAAATAAAACTATTCCACACACATTAAGATTAGTTTGTTGAATAGTCAGACAAAGGATTAAGTCAGTCAATCTAAGCAGATTAAGTAGTTAATCAAGGTAGCTGTATAGACGGTATAACATGATAAATACGTGATCACTTAATTACCTAATCAATCCAGCCTATTATCAACGATAATCGGGTTGAGTGGTAGTTATACACTCAGTACACTATATTAATTTTGGAATTTTGAATATTATTCATCATGTCTTGATGTTCGATTGGGCAAATTGCTGGTCGGACAATTTAGGACAATTGGAAAATAGCGTTGGACATGTCCGGAATATACGGTTGAAACCCAATGACTGCTTTAATGTTTTATAAATATTTGTCAAGCAATGATAACTGATGGTGGCTGTGGTAAAGGAAATGAAGGAAATTGGTATATATTTTTTTTTAAAATCTGATCATCTCATCAATGAACAATTATCAGGAAAATTAAAAAAAAACAAAAAAACATTGAACATTAAGTTGGCAAACTCAATTTAACTCAATGGAACAGAACTATTAAAGATGCATTATGTAGGAGCTAAATCTACCTATTGCAGTTATGTTTTTTTCTGGCTTCAAATGTTATATAAATTATTAATTAGACATTTATTTACATGACAAGCCTATAATCAATTGGATTAGGAAACATGTGCCATTTAACTGTTCATGGAATTTCAAATATCATCATAGCAATTCTTGTTAAAACTTCAAACATTAATATCTTTCACTCAGAATAAAGCAATTTGTCTGAAATTTTCAAAATATTAATTTTTGATTGTTTAATTTTAACCTATTATAGTATAGTGAGAACGGCCAGGTCTTTATGTAAATCTTACATAATGCATCTTTAAATGCTAAATACTGAACAACCACTGTACTACATACATGTTACTTTCTCTAGATGGTGTAGCAACTAACACATGGTCCACAGGTCTTTTAATCAAGAAAAACTCAATTTTCACGGGCATGTATGACAATTTTAAAGATTTCATAATTTCAAGGCTTTGAATCTTATATAATATAATAACAGAAAAAAAAACAGAAAACATTTCTATGAAATATAATTTTGAAGCTTTGTATTCTATATAATAAAATAACAAAAAAAATCAGAAAACATTTCTGTGAAGTATAATTATTGTTTTTTTATTATTAAGTGATATTTCTACCGGGATCCTCTACAGTTTTTATCGAAACAAGTGAAAAGAAATGTCACTAATTGATAAAGATTAATCTTATTGCACAGATTTGTTTGACTGCATTAATCTGCTTTAAACATCATTGAAACATTTTTAAATTAACGCCATTGAAACATTTTGAAATAAACAAAAGGACATTAAGCGTGCTAATTTGCGCTATTTGTATCATTGGTTTTTGGTAAAGGATTAGTGCTAGTGTTATGTTAGTGTTGGTACAAATCTCATAACCATATATAGGTAGTAAAGGGAAACTGACTATAGAAACCATTGATTCACATATATATAGTTACATATATAATATCAAACCTTCGGGAGGAACCGTCAAGCCCTACAAGATTATTGTATGATATATTACGGCGTAGGAACATTGGCTTATCACCCACATGTCTGAAATTAATCACGGTGTTATTAAATAGTAAGATGTATTAGATGGGGGAGTAGGGAGGGGCGGGTTTATGATAAGAGTATAGACTGGAGAGATGGGTGGGGTGGGGTGGGGTGGGTGGGGGTAAAGATGTATTAGATGGGGAAGTAGGGAGGGGGCGGTATATGATAAGAGTATAGATTGGAGAGATGGGTGGGGTGGGGGTAAATTTTATGTCAGGACAGCAATTAATCACATTGAATATAGTATCATATAGAGTGGGGGTGGGGTATAAAAGAATAAAGTTGTGCAGTATGGGGTCAGGGGGTGAGGAGGTACGAGTCTGTATCTAGTCTGATACTTATAACATAGTATGAGATGGAGAGAGAGGTGGGGAGGGGTTACAAGGATGAAATTGGGGGCAATGGGGTTGGGGTGGTGGAGACAAGTCTATGTTTGGACTGATATTAATAACATGAAATGTATGTGATATGGAGAGAGTCGGGGGGGGGGGGGAGTATATACAAGAATAAAGTTGCAGTGTATAAAGTCTGTGATCTTGTATACACGCCTCAGCAAGACTGAAAATTAATAATGTTTAATATGGTAGGGTAGCTGAAAAGAAATATTAATATTAGGGATATATTTTTAAGCACGGTGAACTAATTTTAACACAATATGTGGCTTGCTAAACTTCATTGATGCACTAGTTTGACAACTGAAAATAACGCAAGCATAGCTGAAATCTAACAATTTTTCAAATTAATTTTTAAATCCATGCTTTAAATTTCTTATGTTATGAGACAACATAAAAAAAAGCATTAAATTCTCTTCAGCAAATTTTTTTATCTCAATTTTTAAAACCAAAACAGAAGCAAATTAGTAGCTTTTAAGCATTACAACTGATTATGTCTGTCAATGCCTATATTTCTAGCAAGAACTTTTGGAGAGTTTGGCACCAACTTTATTCCAAACTGTCGCTAAACCATATAAATATAACTTCAAGTAATAAAACTCATGATTACGATTATAAATCTTTGTTCGAGTACCAACCAAAAGATAAAAAAAATCAAAATATGTACCGTATGTTTTTTTATTACTTAATTAATATGCAGAGCTACTAGCAAAAAATTCCTGAGATTAGTCGTCGGCAGAAGCAGTCGTTTTCACATTCAAATCTCAAGGTGGAGTTTTTTCAAATCGTTGTTGACAGAGATAATAAATTTGATGAAGACGTATATAAATTTTACAAATTTATTGATGGTAACCATAATGGAATAAATCTGATTTAAATTATCAGGAAAGGGGGGGGGGGGGGAAATAATCTAAATGTTTGTTTTGGATGTATCAGATTGTAAGAATATAAACAGCATCATAAATAAGGGGTGGGGAACAAAGGGGTAGAAATAAGAAATGAGAATACATTTAACGGGAAAGTAAACGAAGGGATGGGATGGGAAGAATAAGACATAGAAGGATTTTAACAAGTAAATATAGAGAATTCCATGTAACGTTCATAAATATATTCAATGCCTACCACAAAAAAAATATTGATAGAATTTTGAATTGTATATTTTAGTCTGAATGATAAGAAATGATCAAAATTTGAGAAAATAAAAACAATTTATGACTTCAAAAAGTTAAAAGGGTAGACAACTCATAATGTTCCTGTTACATGAATTTCTCGAAGATATAATTAATCACGCTATAAAACACATATTTTGTAAATTTAGATTCTGTAAATAATCAAGTATTACATTCTACATATTGTGTTAAATAAAAGGTCAACATATATAGAAATATATAAACCGTATTCGACCATATATAAGCACATATTCTATCATATCACTGGAACTTATAAACCTATTTTCTCAATCGAAAAAGCATAACTCTTGAAGTAATTATCTGAAATCTTTAAATATCAACACGTTTCTTTATCGCATAGACATTAAAACTGAGTCAAGTCAATCAGATGACAACTTTAGCCTGTTTACAAGCCATTGTGGACAATTACAAGAGAGACAATGGAATATGACCACAATTTAATATTGGGGGCATAAAAATGAAACCAATGTGACGCTATTGAACTGAACATTTTATATAAAAAAAAAAATTAAAAAAAATCTTCTGGAATTTCCAAGTGCTTATTGGATCGAATACGGTCATTATAATCACTATCAAAAGAATTCACACGAAGAGAGAAAATATAAAATATTACATCAAATTAAAATATCTATCTAGTAAGAGAAAATTAATATCAAAGTACGATGACATGAAATGAATTTTTATCATAGCAAATGAGTTGATCAATGATTAGATTTAAAATATGATATTTTTGATTTGTGCCCAAAAAAACAGTAAAGAATACGCTTGATCTGATGTCTCATTTTAAAGAGTTATGCTTTTAATCTTTTGAATCTGGATAAAAATTTAAATTAATACATAAAACTTCATTAAAGATACCTTCCCACAAAAGTATTTATCAGGTGGTTATTTCCAATAAAGTATGACAATTTTGGTATATATGGAAGTAGAAACATCCAATCTTACTAGAAAAAAACTGAATCCCCTGAAAAACAACCATGGAGCGCATACAGGACAAAAATGTAAGGGTCTCCGACTATCAGGGATGTCTGCTCGAGTGACATCAAAGGTTGCACGCGAAGATTGTCTGATCTCTCAGTGTTAGAGAGCGCTTGATGTATATGTTGATAAACTTGATGGCGAGCGGACTAGGAAATTGTGAGAGACTTAAATGTACAACAGTTTCTGAGATAAAAACCACGGAAAAAGACGTGAGCAGTGGATAATCCAAGAATTTAATATGATAAATGGACAGCGATTAAAGACAACATCGTCTTGTATGCAATGAATTCTCTCCTCCTCCAGCTTCGCACCCATTGCTAGGTACGCATCAGCCAAGTCATGTGACACAAACATGACTTTTCTTAATAGATTTTTTATAGCTTGGAGTATTTCCTCATGAATACAATGTTTTGAGAAGGATTTAAAGCAAAATTTTTATAGATTAATTAGTTTGAATATGTTTTTAGTCCAAATGTATCATCAAATCACCCATTTTGTACGTGGGAAGGTATCTTTAAGCCACAAGAAAATTTAATATTTTCTGTAAAATACAAATGACGTTCACAGACTTTAAATAGGCGCTTCAATTTCTCACCCAAAGAATTCAGTACAAATAAATTAATGATTCAGTGACCGTACCATTCTATCCAATAAAAAAATTCATAAAACAATCATGTGGAAATTAATTTTGAGATTAAATTTTAAAAACCACCCAAAAATCGAAAGCGTGAACAGTAAGCAAATGTGCCAGAATTTTGATTTTTACAAGACTCTATAAGCAATATATATATTTTATAAAAAAAAGAAAAAAGAGTAATTGAATGAAAAACTTACTTATGTTTTAAAAGAAGAGTGCGAAGGATATTTCCTTTATTTTCCTCACTTATCAGATCTCGAATAAGAAGATTTTCGACTACATTATGAATAATAGTCTGTAAATTTTCTGCTTCTAAATCTAATAACACAGTACCTGTAAATCAAAATATTAAAGTTTAATTAAATGATCATCCCAATTATAAATTAATCAAATAAATATTGTGTATTTCTGCAAATTAAGATTGTAAATTTATAGACCTAGTACTGGTTCCCAAGCTCTACTCATCTTGTTGTTGTTGTTCTTAAGGGCGATGCTCTTCAAAAAAAGAGAGAGAGAGAGAGAGATGGGGTTTAACGTCCACTCAACACAAAGTAGGTCATTTTGGGACTAACATATGGTTCAATTTTATTTCAATAATTCGCTTGTGCGTAGAGGTCTTTAGCAGTGGGAGGAAACCGGAGAAAACCAACGAGATTTGACAGGCGACCATACTTATGGTCACTTACAAGCGGGGAATCAATGACAGATCTTATGATGCAATGCACACGCATTAACCATTCAGCCACCCAATAAGGTTGGACAGACGACTCTACTCCTTGTCACGTACAAGCGGGGAATCGACCAGTATATGACTGTAACATGAACATACCGAAAATATTTATTCTCACCATTTTCTAAACCTTTACGTAATTCAATCAAGCTATGAAAAGAAAGTGAGGCAACGTGAGGTTTTCCCCAACGTTCTGCCCCTTCTTCAACATCTTCTTCAAACTTGATCCAACGAGCCTTCTCTCTCCATTCCCATTCATGTTCATCTTTAACAAATAATTCATCTAACTCAACAAATACCTGTAAATGATAAATAAAACATAAACGTATCACATGACTTCATGACCTGATTACCCTCAATACGTCCATCACATGACATCAGTACTCAATTACCCTCAATATGTGTATTACATGATTTCATGACCTGATTACCCTCAATATGTGTATTACATGACTTCCATGATCTGATTACCCTCAATATGTGTATTACATGATTTCATGACCTGATTACCCTCAATATGTGTATCACATGACTTCACAACGAAATCTAAATGAAATGAGGTTTAACGTCCTACTGTTCTGCTCCGACTGGGCAAATGAAGAAGGGCATACTCCATACAGTTTGCTATGAGGGAAATTTTGCCCGGACAGCATCACTATGGTCTACTCTTATATCGAATTCCAACTGCCAAGGGCCCTTTTACGTGCACACCAATGTGTACACTGGACCTCAGTTTTTCGTCCCGTCCAAACAAATAGACAGCTGTCCTTGTCAGGACCTCCGTCTTGCACCACTGACAATGGGAAACCACGTCGGAAAATCCTGATGAACTTTCTTGGCCATCACCAGGAACAAACACACGAATTAGAAGCAAGCGAGCCAGCGACTTACTCCTGAGCCACAGTGGTTCCCTCACAACGAAATGTACATTATTATTTACTTTTATATTTCATCCATATACATATCTATTTAACCAATATTCAAAAGTAATATATCTTACATCATGTGGGCTGTGATCAAATTTTTTTTTGGGTTTCTTTTTTTCTTTGTGCGCTTTTCCAATATGGACAATAGATTGAAAATTATTCTTATTTCTACGATTAATTTTATGTCTTCTAATACCACGAACATCTTCCCACCTGTGACCTTAAAAATATAATATTTAAATTATCTTAAAATGAACTTAATTTAAAATATAGATCTACATGTATATGCAGTAGAATCTGTATTCATCAGTCGTTCAAGGGAATTGTCATGGCTGAACTCTTAAAGATGCATTATACAAGAGTTAAATCTGTCTATTGCAGGTCTTTCTTTAGGCCTTAAATGTTATATAAATTATTAATTAGACATTTATTAATATGAAAAGACCTTAATCAACTCTTGATGCCATCAGATGGTCCCAATTTTAAGTAGATTAGAACGGTTCGGCTATTTAATGATTTAATATAAAAATGGAGAAGTAAAGCTAAGCATTGAATAACCAGCACCGTGTTTATGATAATAAACAATCAATTCAGATATCTTGACAAAACTATAAACTTTGAAATATTTGCTCAGAACAAAGTAATTTGAATTAAATTTTCAATATATTCATTTTACATTATTGTTTTTGAACCATTGTAGCAAAAACAGCCAGTTCTTTATCTAAACCTTACATAATGCATCTTTAATAAAATCTCAGTTGATACCAAGTAAAACTAAACAAAATTAACAAAAGACTTATTGCGATAGCTTACAAGGAGCTGTCACTGAGAAGGAATGGCTGCTCGCACAGATTCTACTGTATACACTGTGACTTCGAAGCTGGTATGTGGGCATATTTCCACAATCAAGGGAAGGAATCACAAGGGTTGAAGACATAGCTTTCACTTAATTATAATAATAATGTTTTCCCCAGTCATAGCTTAGACATAACTTTGATACTGTTATAATAATATTTTCCTCAATCATAGCTTTCACTCTATTAATTATAATAATAATATTTCCCCCAGTCACAGCTTTTCCCCAGTCATAGCTTAGACATAATTTTAACTCTAGTATAACAATATTTTCCCCAGACATAGCTTTCACGCTATCATAGCTTCCATTCTATTATAAAAAAAATTCTGTGTCATATATTTCGATACGAAAAATATTTTTTCAGCTTGCCATTTAATTATTCTGAAAAGAACATATCTTAAGGGCAACATTTTTATTATTATTATTATTTTTAAACTTACTGGCCATTTCATCCAGATCAGCTTTATGAAGCAATGCAGCTTCATCTGTCTCGGTTGGCGAGCGTTTTAATTCTCCATCTAATTTAACTTCACTTCCTTTCTGGCGCCTTAATATTAAATCTCTTTCTTTAAAATGTTGATGATGATGGTGGTGACGTTTCTTTCCGGAACTCGTTCGACTTAAGGAACTGAAAATATGTAGAACGTTTCGCATAATTTGGTGAATAAACAAAGGCTGGACATTCATTTCCTACCTCGTCTGAGGCTTCTATTAGATCTGATCGAATTTATCACAAATTGCATTACAGATGTTTCTAGCCAGTACGAGAGGTTGACTAACAGTAGGGTGGAAACCAGAGATTTATTTGGAAGAATACCAGATTGTTCAGACAGTCGTACCCTTTACAACATAACAAATAAAACATACCGTATATAACCCAATAAGTGTCCATTCATCAATAACTTTATTCCATTGATAACGTGACTACTCAGAGCTTGGATAGCCACTACCATTCAGATTGACACTCTGATTGTCTGTACCATTCAGAATGATATATTTTAGATTGTCTGTACCATTCAGAATGATATATTATGTATTGTCTGTACCATTCAAACTGACATTCTGTACCATTCAGAATGATATATTTTATTCAGATTGATATATTTTAGATTGTCCATACCATTCAGATTGATATATTATGTATTGTCTGTATTATTCATACTGACATTCAGATTGTCATACTTTGGATTTTCTGTAAAATTCAGTTTGACATATTTTAGATTGTCTATACCATTCCAACTGACATTCAGATTGACATATTTTAGATTGTCTATACCATTCAGATTGACATATTTTGGATTGTTTGTACAATTCAGACTGATATATTTGGATTACTTGTACTGTTCAGATTGACATTCAAATTGGCACATTTTTGATTGTCTGTGCCCTTCAGATTGTTATATTTTAGATCGTTTGTACCATTCAGATTGCCATATCTTAGATTGCCTGAACTGTACTCTGGTACTGTTTTGTTTGGCTATTCCACTGTATGTTTTATTAGGTAACTACTACTCCTTATTTTTAGAGTGTTGAATTTTTTCCCGTACATTTTAGGGTAAAATGTCAATAATTGACAAATCATGTTTACATTCCAACCTGGCGCCTAAACAAGACGCTTGAGAGTTTAAGGTCAACTAAAAAAATATTTATGCATACACTGATGGTTCATTTTGTTCTGTAGGTGCATAACCATTTTGTTCTGTTGGTGCAAAACCATTTGGTTCTGTTGTTGCATGACCATTTTCTTTATCCCTTCTCTTCCAGATCTCTCCATCAGAATCTTCTTTATGTAGTTTTATTTCACTTGGTTCACCACCTAACATTTAATAAGAAGGGCAAAAAAATATGAAGAGATATAAGGAATGTTTATCGTGTAGGTAGATTAAATGCTGTTCTCGATGCCAAAAGTGACGATAATACTTCTGAGGTATCCAAGATAAAGGGATACAAATTGATGACGATATCAAAACAATGTTTAAGTTGCCAACGTCCACTCAAACAAACTAGGTCGTTTTGTGACTTACATATGGTTCAATTTTATTTCAATACTTTGCTTGGAAATAGGGGTTTTTAGCGCGAGGTTGGAGACGCAACCCTACTCCTTGTCACATCCAAGCTGCAAATCCAAAACACATTACTTGACTCAATGATAGAGCTTATGATCAAAAGCCCATAGACTAAACCAGACGCTTCCCCCCACCCACCCTTGGGTTTCTGGGCTCGATAGAATAAAGAATGAAAGAAAATAAACATAATATACCGTACTTACCAAGTAAGAATTTAACATGACCTGATGTTGACTCTGAACTGACTTTTCGACTTTGGCTGGTCATTGGAACATCCAACATTGGAACTCTTTCCGATAATTGAGGTTCAGTTTCATCCTCAAATGTGAACATTGGTCTGGAATCTGAGAAATCAGTAGAGGACTGGGAGATGATAATTTCTGGTGGAATGTCACTGTCTTGATGATCAGGGCCTGTTGTTAACTCACTGCCACCGATATAAAATCCAACATGTACTTCGCTCGCTTTTCTAGACACTGGTGCAGACAGGTCAGTATCTTCAGCTGCATCAGTGTCATCAACATCCTCAACATCTTCCATTTCTTCATCTGAGTCCTGGAGATTAATCAACAAAAAGGAATTAATCCTAATTTAAGAGATTTTTTAACAGAAACAAAAGACACATTCCATTACAAAAACAAATAAACACTTTCACTGTCCAGTAAGTACATGAGCACCGATTTTCTTAGGAAACACGATCTAATTAGCAAAATATTTTGTAGTAATGTTCTTAATAGAAAAATATTGTCATTTCAGAAATAAATGAATATTTTGTCATTACAGCACATGATAATCTGTCATCCTTTTTTTTTTTTTTTTAACTTGACACTGCGTTATAAACATTGAGTGGCATCTGGTAATAGGGCATATCAATAACACAAAGACCATTTACATAGAATACAATCACTGGTTTATTATACAGCGCTAGGTTTCGATAAGTCCTCAATGGTTTATTATACAGTGCTAGTTTTCTATAATTTTTCACTGGTTTATTATACAGCACTAGGTTTCTATAAATCTTCACTGGTTATTATAGTGCTAGGTTTCACTACTTGTCTGTAGATATTATAGGAAACAAACAAAGGCAATAAGTAATCAAATGAAATGGGTTCAACGTTCTACTCTTCCATCCAGCCATCCAACCCCCCAATATTAAAAGATTGAAGTCAGTGAAACAATCGATTTAAAGGATTTCCAAGAATTATGTTGAAACCTACCTCCTCCCCATCTTCCTCTCCGTCCTCCTCATCTTCCTCTTCTGGAATAGTCGGAGATTGAATGGCTCCTTTCGATGGAAAACTACGAATTTTCTTTTTCTTCTTCTTTTTCTTTTTTTTCTTGATGTGTGTCTGTGGCATACTTTTCATTGACCGACTGGAAAGCGAGCGAAGAGGTTGATGTATGTGTGGGTATGATACTTTTCGATGTACTGCAATTAAAAAAAAACAAAACAAACATAATAATGTAATAAGGTCATTAATATCACATGCTTAGATAGACACAGGCACAGCCCAGCTTAGGCATGGGCCAAGTGGACCAAAACCCGAGGCCACGCTGTTCATGGCAAAAAGAGAAAAAAGTATTAAATTCCATATGAAAGTTCCACTCTCAGTCTAGCGGCGCAATGCGTGGAGACGGGGTGAGTCTGTGATCCTTCAACCATCTCTGTGATTGATTAAAACATGTGACGTGGGCGATCGTTCGTATGCTAATTCTTTTCGTAGCGCTAGCGACCCGGCAATTCTAGTCTGGCCCAGGCCAGGGCCTCGTTCCATTTAAGCTAGGCCTTGGACACAGGGCTTATTCATGAAAACTTATATTAAAATAAAATAAGAAATCTATGAGTGGCGAGTAGCCATCCCAGATTACTCTCATGAAGTGACTATTTTTGTTCAGTTCGAACTCATCAGGCTTAAGTGAGATTGTGCGGATGTTCACTTTATATAGTCGTCGGGACGGGAGCACAAAATGGTTTAAGGATACTGCTTTTTGATTGGTTGGGGATTAAAATCCTAGCTCTTGACCAATGAAAAGGCTGCATTCTTAAAATAAGTTTTCATGAATAATGTCCCAATATTGAGAGAGAGAGAGAGAGAGAGAGAGAGAGAGAGAAATGGGGTTTAACCTCCACTCGACACAAACTAGGTCATTTCGGGACTAACATATGGTTTAATTTTATTTCAATAATTCGCTTGAGCTTATGGGTCTTTAGCAGTGGGAGGAAACCGGAGGACCCGGAGAAAACCCACGAGGTTGGACAGGCGACCCTACTCCTTGTCACGTACAACCGGGGAATCAAAACCCCGCCAGTTGACTCAATGACAGACCGTATGATACAGCGCGCTCGTGCTAACCATTCGGCCATCCAACCCCCCCGTCCCAATAGTACATGCTCAGGCTCAGATATCCAGAGGTTTTGTAAAAGGGCAGGAATGGATTGACGATTAAAGATGCAGTCTGTAAGATTTAGATAAAAAGCAACCCATTCTTTCTATAATAGTTCAAAAATAGATAGCTAAGTTATGAGTGTTTAAAGTTTTGACAGTCGCTCTTGCTATGATAATAAACAATGTTTCAATTATCCATTTTAATTCATTCAATATCTTGGCCATCCGATGTCCTAGAGAGTTGATTATTGGCTTGGCAGGTGAACAGTGCCTAAATAATGATTTGTATAACATTTGAAGCCCCCCAAAAATATCTGCATAAGACAGATTTAGTTCTTACATAATGCATCTTAAACGATATGATGTGATTCAAATGATTCATGTATCTTTATTAATACTGTCTGGATAACACAAAAACCTTGTCATTTAGAAACTAAACATATTGAAAGCTCTATGAATGACAGTTACATCATCAATGTATCAGAAAGCATTACTAAGATTCTGTGTCATAGCATTTTGGGACTAACATATGGTTCAATTTTATTTCATTAATTTGCTTGTGAGTGGGGTTCTTTAGCAGTGGGAGGAAACCAGAGAACCTGGAGAAAACCCACGAGGTTGGACAGGCGACCCTACTTCTTGTCACTTACAAGCGGGGAATAGAAACCACACCACTTGACTCAGTGACAGACTGTTTTATGCAACATGCACACCTTACCCATTCGGCGAGCCAACTCCCTTTCACTATTTAAATATTCATTTTAAAATTTTGAATTTTTTGATCGATCCTAGATGCATTTTTCAGATTTCTAGAAATTGTGATTCTGTCCATTATCTGTTAGTGTTTTCTTATTTTTTAACTAAATGGTTTTTCATCACCAACCAACATTGTTTGATGAAATATTTGAATATCAAAATTGTTTATCGACCCTGAATAATAAATATATTTGAAAAATCCGTTTGAACTAGAATAATGAAATCTTTTTGTGAGCACTAAATGTTAACAGACTTACTATTAAAATCATCCTCGCTGAATTGTTTTTTCTCCGTTACAAATGATGGCACACTAAAGCGTCGTCCCGAATCATCCACAACAGCTTCTGACTGGTTGGTAAGAGAACTAATGTCAAATACTGGTTTATACAGCTTCTCAACGTCATCATGAAGAAAACGTAGATGTGTGGACGTGTCATCAAAACTCGGTTTATTTCTGTTCATGTGGGATAATTCCGGTTCTGTTGATATGGACCGCAAAAATGGAGACAGATCTCCATTTGATTGCTGACCTTCGAGATCAACATTTGTACTCGACGGACTGGAACCTTCGGGTAATTCTTCATCTTGTGTTAATGGAACCACTTCTTCTGGAGAATGCTGAAAAAATAAAAATATTACTTTTATCCGTTTAGCACTTCATGCATGTAAATATAGACTACCTCAATTCCTTGAAGAAAAATAAAGATGTATTAATACTGGAATAACTGGTACATCCCTGAACAGAACCAGTTCCTTAGGCCGCCTGAAACCGCTCGAGATATATGAATAGCTTTCCGTATTATAGTGAAAGGATATGAAAAAGACAGGAATAATCAATACTGACTTTGTTTATTAAAAACAATGCATCTGGATGGGTGTGTGTGAAATCGGTTTATTTAACATATCCGCTTGCACTGAGGTTACGTGACATCGCGGCAGATAATTCTGTATCAGTGTTGATGTTTAATTAAATACTTGAGGGCGTGCTTCTGCATCAATGAGGTCCAGGAAGGACTTCGACATCTACAATTTTATTTATGTTATATCTTAATTTTATTTGCTAAAACTGAAAACAAATCACAATGCCTGTATGCTGGAGGAAGGCCTCTTTAAAATTAGAATCAAAGTTATTATGTACCAAAGCATCAACAATGAAATTGCTTATCTCTGCTTAGTCTAAGTAGAAAGTGCTCATCATCAAACTCAGTCAAGGCATTCACATAAGAAACACCTATAGGAAGTTTGAACATTCTAGCTAAATTATTAATCCAATTAGAAACAGAGTTATCTTGTTCCAAAAGCATGGATAGACGGACAGATAGACAGACCCATGCATTCCCCTGCTTTCTTCGAAAGGCAGAGAACAATATAAATCATTAACCTTACAAATATATATTAAAATACTCTAAATTGTTTTTTGTTAATTAATCTGAACTAAGTCTGTAAATCCTGCATAAAATACGAGATCCTACTGTCACATTTATATGAAGATATTCATTAATTAAATATTAACACGGAAGGCAAGATTTAAAACATTTGTCACTTCAAAACTAAGTTAAACACAATATATAATGCACATCATTCAATTCTAGGGCAAAAGAGAGAGAGAGAAATGGGGTTTAACGTCCCCTCGACACAAACTAGGTCATTTCGGGACTAACATATGGTTTAATTTTTTTTATTTCGATAATTCGCTTGCGCGTAGGGGAGGACCTAGAGAAAACCCACGAGGTTGGACAGGCGACCCTACTCCTTGTCACGTACAACCGGGGAATCGAAACCCTGCCAGTTGACTCAACGACAGAACATATGATACAGCGCGCGCGTGCTAACCATTCGGCCATCCACCCCCCCCCCCTTATTGCAAAAGGCAAAGACATTTTGTTTTATAGGATTAGCATACATTTGAGAAGTGTTCAAAATTTCATTTACATGTAAAAATAATTTAAAGGCGCATTATGTAATATTTAGATAAAAGAGCTGTCCGTTCTTGTTAGTTCAAAAATAAATACCCACTAATGAAAAATGAATATATTGAAAATTTCAGTCAAGTTACTTTATTCTGAGCAAAGTTATGAGTGTTTGAAATTTGAATAAGTCTCAATTGTCAAGTACCATTGCCACAATAGTAAACAAAGTCTCAATTATACATTTTATCATTAAATTCTAAATTGTGAGGGGGTTTTAATCTATAGAATAACTGAGCCATTCGATGACCTAGAGAACTGATTATAAGTTCTTCATGTGAATAAAGGTCTAATTAAAGCGACATTAGGTAAGATTACATAAAGAGCTGACAGGTCTCACTACAATAGTTACAAAATAGATAATGAAAATAGAATGTGCTGAAAATTTCAGTCAAATTACTTAACTCTGAGCCTAGATATCGGTGATACAATTATAGCCTAGCCTTGATTGTCATTACTACCGTTAATATACAAAGTCTTGATTATCCATTTTTACTGTCTTCATTATTGTCTTGGTAGTTAATTAATGTCTAATTAATAATTTATATAACATTTGAAACCAGAAGAAAGACCTACAATAGGCAGATTTAGCTCTTACATAATGCACCTTTAAGTATTTGTTACAGTTGACAGGATTTTTGTATCATAGTCACAAATGACACAGATAGATCTTTGGTTTTCATTAATTTTGTGTATTTTTTTTATATCTTTTTAAAAAAACAACATAAAAAACAACACAACTTTTAACATCCCACATGTGCTAAATGTATACAAAACAAATACACAAACTTGATTAATTATAGATCACACCACAGAAAGACAAGTAAACACCACTCTAATATATAATAAATGTATCAATATAATGTACAAAGTATCAATACACTGTTATCAATATAATGTATCAATACAATGTACAATGTTATCAATACAATGTATCAATATAATGTACAATGTTATCAATACAATGTACAATGTTATCAATACAATGTATCAATACAATGTACAATGTTATCAATACAATTTTATCAATACAATGTATACTGATTAGTCTGAAATGAAATGAAATGGGGTTTAACGTCCTATATTTGTGCACCGGCTGGGCTAATGAAAATGTTCGTACATCATGGAGGAAATTTTGGCCTACATAGCAGCACTACAACCTACTCTTATTTTGAATCCTAACTGTCAGGGGTTCTTTTACGTGTAAATGGGACCTCAGCTTTTCGCCCCATCCTGCCCCACTGACAGGGGGGAAGCACGCAAAAATTCTCCACCAATACCATGAGCAAAACCGAGACCACATGGTTATTGAGCCAGCATCTTATTCACCACAGCGGCTCCTAATGATTAGCGTGAAAAATGGTCATTCATACATCCACATAATATTTGGTCTGAGAAGTGGGCATATTTATTGACTACTCCTTGATTCATTCAATCTTTTATCTTGTCAAATATAAAGTTTGCTTTTGCATTGATGCATTCCTTTTAAAGGAAAAAAATTCATCCTTTCACTTATCAATCAGTCAATTCATTCATTCATTCATTCATTCATTTATAGGACTGTACCCTAAAGTCAGACTGCTGTATGACTTGTGCAACTATCTAAATGTCAAGTATCTGGACAAGTTAAGTTAAAATCAATATGATTTCACAACTAAAAACATTTCTCACAAAGCAACAGAATGTGGTGGCATGCATTCTAATTAAAACTGTTTTGTTCTAGATGGTATTTTCCCTGGGGAAAGAGATTTAATTTGAATGAACTATCTGCCATAGAAAGTAGGACAGAATATCACTCTCATATTTCATTAAACATACATTATGCAAGAGCTAAATCTGCCTAATGCAGGTCTTTCTATAGGCCTGAAATGTTATATAAATTATTAATTAGACACTATACAGGCCATAATCATCTCTGGATGGCATCAGATTTCTCCAATATTACATAGATTAGAACAGTAAAGCCATATCTTAATTTAAGCTAAAAATGGAGGAGCGAGATTTAGCTTCGAACAACCAGTACAGTAGTTGAAATTATTGCACACGTCTTGTCACTCGCTCTTTATCTAAATCTTACATAATGGATCTTTAAACAGATAGATAGCTTAGTTAGAGTCAGATCAAAATTCAAACAGTAAAAAATCTTTTGTTATAGGTTTTATGAGTAATACCTTACAAGAAAAAGTTATTAAAATATATATAATACTTATAAAGGTGATTGACTGATGTGGCTTCAAATCTATAATCAGTGGCTTATTTCATTGTTCACAGATTATATCAAAATGAAATGAAATGAAATAGGGATTTAATGTTATATATTTTGCTACAATAAAATATAACAAACCTGTCTTTAGCGATAAGATCTTCGTTTTTAATCAAATACTAAGTAAAAACGGAAGAATTTGTGACAGGAAATTTGAATAGAAGGCAGAGTTTATTGAAGTCAGGTTTCATCAATGAAATTGATTAGTCTGAAGAGTGTTAAAAATAGAGAGGATTTAACTCAAATCGACACAAACTAGGTCATTTCGGGACTAACATGGTTCAATTTTATTTCAATAATTCACATGTGCGTAGGGGTCTTTAGCAGTGGGAGGAAACCGGAGGATCCGGAGAAAAAATCCATGAGATTGGATAGGCGACCCTTATCCTTGTCACGCACAAATGGGGAATCGAAACCACACCACTTGACTCAATGAAAACCTCGTGAAGCACAAATGGGGTATTTGGGTTGTTAGTTAACAGATTTTCATATTCTACATGCCATTCACCAACTTCATAAAAGAGAGAGAGAGAAATGGGGTTTAACGTCCACTCGACACAAACTAGTTCATTTCGGGACTACATAATTCGCTTGCGCGTAGGGGTCTTTAGCAGTGGAAGGAAACCGGAGGACCCGGAGAAAACCCACGAGGTTGGACAGGTGACCCTACTCCTTGTCACGTACAACCAGGGATTCGAAACAACCACGCCAGTCAACTCAATGACAGACTTTATGATACAGCGCGCGCACACTAACCATTCAGCCATCCAACCCCCCTAACTTCATAAAAATTTGGAAGGTAGATTAAGAATACAATTGTCAATGAGAGAGAGAGAGAGCGAGAGAGAGAGAGAGAGATGGGTTTAACATTCCACTCGACACAAACTAGGTCATTTCGGGACTAAGATATTGTTCAATTTTATTTCAATAATTCATTTGCGCGTAGGGGTCTTTAGGAGTGAGAGGAAACCGGAGGACCCAACGAAAACTCACGAGGTTGGACAGGTGACCCTACTCCTTGTCACATAAAACCGGGGAATCAAAACCACCCCGGTTGACTTAATGACAGACCTTATGATGCAGCGCACACACGCTAACCATTCAGCCATCCCACCCTTCCCAATTGTCAATGAGATCTGAGATTACAGTCTAGCATTGGCACTACAAACAACAAACTAAGATGCAAGTCTCTGAAAGGTCATTAATATTAATAACTACAAATTAGAACTTTTTATCTAAAATCTATCTATATGTAATTTTCATTATGAACTTAAAAACTAAACAAAGCAAATGAAAATATAAAAATCAAACAGAATTATTATTAATTTATTTTCTTGAAAAGACCAACAGAATTGAAATGATGAGTTCAAACCATGCAGGAATGCATGAAAATACAAAGCTATAATATAATACAAGTAAAATGAACAGCACCACATTGATTTAGGTCAAAATAAAGCTCTGAATTAGGGTCTTACTATTCACTTACCATCTTCTATATTATTTAAATTTTGAATGTAATGTGTAGAATATACACGTCTACAACATATCCTTCATTGATGGTCACCTTTATGCAATATTCACAAAAAAACGTTCATTAATCTTTAAAGTCAATCAATGATTAGGGGGACTGTTGAATTGGGTTGATGAAGCAAGTTCTATACAATTAAAATATTCGTCAGTCAAACAAAGGGAATCTGCACCTTTTGTTTCTGAATGCACTTGTCGACAAAACTGGTTATTTGTTGACAAAGGATTTATCTGCGCGAGTAAAATTTTGGATGAAAATAGATCTTGCAAAACAAATCGACACATAAATTGTTTCAATGGCATTAAGTAAATGAACTTGAAATACACAGGTCATAATACATAAATACAATCTGATTAAAATACAGATCTATATTTCACTTTGTTTTTTATACTTTGGATGGCTATCACTGCATGAAGATCTGACAAGTTGTAGTGGGATGTAGCGTCAGGGTTGATACAAGCAACTTTTGACCCTACATGTATGACATCAGACTTTTGATTAACCAATCAGGGTCAATGTTTCTACTGGGACACCCACAGTTCCATGCACAGCATGCCAAGAACTCGCTACAACAAAAACTGTTTCATTGGTTAATCCCTCACATCAACCAGAACGCGGGTTATATAACAACTCTTCGAGATCCTATAACGAAATAGGATCTGTGTTTCAAACAGATTGACAATTACTGCTTATTATTTAGCGATGTTTCCACTAGGTCTTCATCAAAAAGACTAAGAAGAAACCTAGTCGAAAAGTCAATGAATAATGAGCAGTAAATGTATTCCATAGAACTGTGACCTGTATAAATCAACACATGAAACTTATCCAAATCAAATTTTATTTTTGACCCAAATCAAATCTTATTTTCGACCCAAATCAAATAGGTAGTGTTCTTTTGAAGTAACATATTACATAACTAATGAATAATAATTATTTAACATCATGCTTTCTAATGCACGGTTAAAAATATTATCTAAGGTTTATTACCACAATTACTTCCGTTTGTTTACTGGTTGTGGGAGTTTCATTCTGAAATAGTTCACAATATAACTACTCATATCCTATAAATAATGTATCAATAGGACATTATGTAACCTTTATGTTAGTAAATGTAAGGAAATGAAATTAAATGAAATGGGATTTAACGTCCTACTGAGCTGATAAAGACATTCAGACGCTGAAGTTAAGCTGGATTACAATCACTGGCGATTGCTAAGCTAGCGTAAATTTGTTGTTGGAACGCCATTGTGGGGAGATAAACCAGTAAAAGAATCCCGTAACAACTATACCCTCTGTTGTGCTCACTAGGTTTTTGACAAAGAGTGGGTAACTGTGGAACAGAATATCAAAGACCACTGAATATCGAACGGCGAACGGCGAAAATCTACCTGTTGAAATTTACCTGTGGCAGGTAACATTGACATTCGGGATCGTGTTATACTTATGGAAAGGATATTTTGACATAATTACTTGCATTATTTAAAAAATTTATGAAGCTTTTCCGGTGACCTTTAAATATTTATTTTTTAAAATTTATTTGTTTCATTATTATTTGTGGAAGTATCATTTGTGGAAGTATTATTTGCTAGAGGAGATATAAATGTAAATGTGGGATTAAATTTCAATATGTACATCTGTCTTCTTTGATTGGCATTTAGTAACTGAACATATTAACACAAGGTACAGTTTTATGGATACACAATTACTGAGTTTAATACTAAGCGACGTTTCGACAAGGATCTCTTGTCTTTATCAAGCAAATGATACGTGTATGTGAATAGTAGGAAAATATATACAGAATATGCATCAAAATAACAATCAAATACAATTGTTATTTTTGTTGCATATTCTGTTATTTTTGTTGCATATTCTGTATATATTTGCCTACTATTCACATACACGTATCATTTGCTTGATAAAGACGAGAGATCCTTGTCGAAACTTCGCTTAGTATTAAACTCAGTAATTGTGTATCCATAAAATTGTACCTTATGTACATCTGTTGTCGAACCAATTTTAAATGAAGGAAACGTGAAAAAATAAAAGTTGAAGTGTCACTGACATTTAATAAACGTTTCTTAGTTCTTTTTTAAATCTGTCTGTAAACTTGATTCTTAAAGGGGAAATCCCAAATTCTACAAGCATTGACACAAGTTTGTTTAAGTATAGAAATCAAGTGCCAATTTGTTAACATACAGCTGAATAGCTCTTCTAAAGGTTCCAATTTAAAATATTGAGATGTTCCTAAGTGCCCGCTAGATTTTCTTAACAGGGTTACGTAACTCTATAACTTTATGGGTGAGCTTGTAATGATCAATAATCACCATAACTTATTAAAGCATATTGACTTGACACTTTGAGGTAGGGTAGGCACTTATCACCATAAAACATAGGGAAACAAATCAGTGAGAACATAGGGAAACAAATCAGTGTAACCTCACTTATCGCAAGGAGGCATATACCTCCGCCGTTCACAAGCCCAGCAATTTCTTTAAGTTTTATTATCAATCATACTAAAATTTGGGTACATGTAGCCTATCTAAGAAATCTGAAACAAAATGATTAAGGGCTAGTTCAAGGGCTTCCTATGTCTTGGAATGTTAAAAGATATTCTTATAATCATTTAAAAGCATCTAGTAACTGGATAGAGCAATAAACCATAACACATACTTATGGAAGAACAATTATTGATTTATTTAGGTGACGTATTCTCTCATTGTTTTCAAGCAAGTGTAATAGAGGATACTGCCAGATTTTAATATTAATGATGATAATAATCCTTTCGAGGCATTTAAAAAGATTGATAGAGAGAGAGAGGGAGAGAAATGGGGTTTAACATCCACTCAACACAAACTAGGTCATTTTGGGACTAACAAATGGTTTTTAATTTTATTTCAATAATTGCGCGTAGGGGTCTTTAGCAATGGGAGGAAACCAGAAGACCCAGAGAAAACCCACGAGGTTAGACAGACTACCCTACTTCTTGTCACGTACAACCCGCCAGTTGACTCAATGAAAGACCTTATAATACAGCGTGCACGTGCTAACCATTCGGCCATCCACCCCCCCCCCCCCCCTAAACACTGAGAGAATACTAATCAAAATGTCACCCAAATAAATGAGAAATTGTTTAGTTTATACACAAATATCTTTGATTTTATCATATAAATTATGCTTACCTCTTGTGATTTTGTATCTCTTCCTCTATGTGACATTATGCTAACAGATTACATATAGGCTGAAATAAAGAAATAAACAAAATCTAATTTCAATCACAATTAAAAAAATATATATTTCATTTAAACAATATAAATAGTGATAGAACAATTTAACTTCTATAAGAAAGCAATTGTGTCTTGAAATCATGTATGATTTCACACGATAACATTTCCTGAAGGAACTTGTTAATTAGTCAACCAATTCATCTTTAAACCATTTAAAAAATAACTGCCTAGAACCTACAGGGATTATAATAAGTCAAAGAGGATTAAAAGTATTTGTATATATACAATGTATATATAAAATCACACCAATCAACTAAATCTTCTATTTCCTGGTACAAGCTAAATATAGACTGAATCAAATACAATTATCACAATGATTAGATACACTGAAACAAACAATCCAGTTAGTCCTTACTGATTGTATTATGATAAAGATATTTTATTACTTAATAGTTTGTCACATGGCTGGACAAGATCAGATGTCCTTCGATTAGAGTGAAATATCAGGGTTTATATAAATTTATACACATGTAGCACCAAAATCGTTATCATGTGACAATGATTCATAGAATAGGCAATGTTGAGCTGTGAGGAGGTCATAATGACATCTTTGTTCTAGAGGGGGTTTTCCCCATTTTCTATAAATAGATTGGAGTTATAATCTGGCAGTTGTAATTAGCAGAATAAATCTTGAAATGTGGACTAAGACAAATCAAATGGGGCACTAACGTCCTACTTTCCTGCACCAACTGGGCTAATGAAGAAAGACATACTATACACCATGTAATGTACTAGGAGGTACATTTTGCCCAGACAGCGGTTAGTGCTAAATGATAAGGCCAGCTCAATGCTTACCCTAACCATAACCTACAATCTTGCCAACAATTACGAGCCAACTCAGCCTTAACATATAGATTTAGCCCCAGACAGCAGCATTTCCACATACTCTTCTTTAAACAGAAATTCCAAATTCAAAAGATATGGGTAAAACCACACAGGAAATTCTTGATGAATCAGTCACAGGACTTCCTGATTAATAAGACAACTACTCACTCACTGAGACACACAGTACCAAACTCACTAACGTGACTCAAACAAGTGCAAGATAATAAATAGACCATCACTATTCATACCTAACTTCGCATTCCCTTCTGTACTAAGAGAGAGAAATGGGGTTTAACGTCCACTCGACACACACTAGGTCATTATGGGACTAACATATGGTTAAATTTTAGTTCATTACTCCAATTGGGCGTAGGTTTCTTTAGCAGTGGGAGGTAACCAGGACCTGGAGAAAACACACAAGGCTGGACAGATGACCCTACTCCTTGTCACGTAGAACCGGTGAATCGAAACCACGACACTTGACTAAATGATAGACGGTATGATGCAACGCACAGGCGTTAACCATTTGCCCACCCAACCCCTTCCTTACTATGAATGTCAGATACAGTGGACTCTGTACGGGATCGTTACAATATTTTGGTTCACACAGCGTGTCGGAATACCGAGCTTTCTCCAAAACCGGAAATACTGTAACTTCGAAAACCGGAAGTATTTTTATATTGTAGCTTCGAATCACCAGAATGCTATTCCCTTTAAAAATGATAAACCTTTCTGTACTTTCAAAATTTTATTACATTAAATAATTAACAATAACAATACATGCGTGCAATACTGCAGTTCAAATTATCGGCAAACTTCTGTTTAAATTCATCTTTACGCTTTAATATGTCTGGCACTGTAGCCCGGCCAATTGAATACTTAACGGCTAATTCCTTCTGCGCAGGTCGTGGAACTTTCTCGAAATCTGCTATAAGTTGCCGCTTTACATCTAATGTCAAATCTGTTCAGGCACGCTTTGCAGGACGTTCAGACATTTTGAATACAATAATGTATAATGATTCTTCAATCGCGGCAATTTTTATATAATGTCGCGGTATTTGACATGAGTAACTAAAATCAAATACCACTCTTACAAGAGATTATAAATTGTAAAATAATCAACAAAGAATTCATAACATTATCAAAGTAATCAACACAGACCGGCGCTTGCGAGTTTTAATCTCACCGATAATTGATTGGTGATTGCTTGTTAATCTTTTCTGGCTTCACACCCATTGAGTTTTAATCTCACCGATAATTGGATGCTTCACACCCACCGTTTGAAATACGGATTATACGGTGTCGATTCAATGGAAATTATGTGACGGGACAGCTGATTGATGTCGGAATCCGGAACATACAGAATCCGGATTTACCAGCGATTTTTTGGCTGAAGTAATAAGGAAATAAATCGGGACATGAAAATCATGTCGGATGTCACAGCAATCCGGAGTGATCAGACTTCAGATGTGACAGAGTCCACTGTACATGTAATTGTTTCTCTAATCATAATATCATCTGTATATCAATTCATTTGTCCTATATCAAATATAACCTTTTGATTAATTAAATGAGAATTAACATTTTTTTTCTTTGTAACTTGGACTAGTATCTAGAAATGAAATAGGGTCTAACATCATACTGTTCTGTTCCTACTGGGCTAATGAAGATGGGCATATGCCATACAGTGTGCTATGAGGTAATTCCATGCCCGCTAATTTTTGTCAGAAAACATTGTTCGGCCAACAAATGTCAGCCAGGTCTGCGTCGGGCAATATGCTACGACTTGTTTTCAGATATATAGTATCTGTACAATATTGAATAGATAGAAAAAATAAAAATAGCAACACGAAAGAGAGAGAAATGGGATTTAATATCTACCCAAAACAAAAGGGTCATTTTGGGACAAACATATGGTTCAATTGTATTTCAATAATTTGCTTGCAACTGGAGGACCTGGAGAAAACCAACGAGGTCAGACAGGCAATCATACTTCTTATCAGGGCTGTTGGTAATTTTTCACAGTTGAGTAGGACCACTGCTAATCAAAAAGTCCAATTTTGCTAAAATTGATTAGCAAATTTAAAAATTGATTAACAGTTTTTCAGTTTCAACATAAACACCTATACATGTATAACAAGATATTTCTTTAAATCATAACAAATGATTAGATTTCATTTTTAGATGTTTTTAGCACTGTTACAGGTAGCTGTGACAGTTTGTGAAGTTGACTTTCCGTTAGGTCTTATGTTACTATTTTTGTTCAGTTGGACACACACGGAAGTTATCGAATAAGCTCAATTAACTAGACACACGCGATCTAAACAATAATATTTTACTTTGATTTCTCATTTTACAATTAATTTTTTTATATTTTCTTTACAATACGTGGGGGATACACTGGATTTATTTTGTTCAAATTGAATAGTGATATTTTTTTTAAAAATTGATATGTCTCGCAACTTGAGTGGTACAACTTGGTTCCTTATTTCCAGTTTAATAGTCCTTATTGATAGAGTTATGTCCCTGTATTATATAGTATAATTAATTGTGTCTGGGTAGTTCGAGAAGAAAATGTCACACAGAGAAATCAGTTTTGTTCACAAAATTTTATTTGGCATTAGACACATTGAAACTGTTGAGAAATCCTTCTAGTCTTCAAAATGTGGATAAATCTTCATGTTAATAGCAACGGACAAAATATGTATCGCAAATTGCGCTGTGATACTGAATGTTGCCAACCCTGCTTCTTATAAAGTTTAACCTGGGAATCAAAACCATATCACATGACTCTACGAAAGACCTTATTTTACTCTTTATTATTTATTTTTGCTGGTCATGACAAATATCATACTTTCAGATAAAACTAAGTTTTGTGAGTTGAGCAGATTATTCATGTAGAAAGAACAGCTGTCTAGTCGATTAGATGGGACATAAAAAAAAACTGAGGACCCGTGTATACATTGGTGTGCATGTGAAATAACCCTTATCAGTTGAAATTCGATATACATGTAAGAGTAGGCCATAGTGCCGCTGCCCAAGCAAAATTTCCCTCATAGCACCCTGTATTGCATATGCCTATCTTCATTAACACAGTTGGAGCAGAACAGTAGGACGTTAAACCCCATTTCATTTCATTTCATTTACATTCTACCATGAAAACATACAATCGAAACTAGAAATTCAAATTGACATGTAATAATCTCAATTGCCTTATGCCTTACAAAGAAATACAGAAATGGTGTTATTCAGGCAAACTTATCTTCCAAACAAAGATCAATAGACTAAAATAAAAGATAAAACAAACAAAAAAAAGTCAAGAAAATGCAAGTCTCAAATCATACAATATCTATATACTATAAATCTTATTTCTTACTTTGGCATAGTTATAGAGGTCAGAATAAAAATTAAGCCTGTAGAATACAGTTTAAACTGTTCGATACATATAAACAGTTGTAAACCCAACACTCATAATCTAATCTAGACAGACTAATTTAAACTATGGGACAGTAGAACCTCAATAGTTTTCTATGATTCTCGACGAATTTGAACAGTATCCCAAGAATGGTTTGAAATTAAACATTAAATACAGAAACTCCTGCTAAAACAGCACAACTACATGTTATCTCATGAGTTGTAGAGTGATACCTAATATAATATTCACAGAACCGCTAGCTCAAATATTACATTTCTTTTCTATACATGTACAATACCTAGAGAACCATGTGTTAGTCACAAAATAACCTACATACAGTATCAATGAATTATCAATACTCCTTTGGTTTTCCTTTTCTGCATACAATATATGTCTATAGAACCATATGTTAGTCCCATATTGGTTAATGTATAGTAAAGAAGAGTTGCTAAGTAGCATCTAGTTGTTTGGCTGGGACAAAAAACTGTGGCCATGTTTTCAGATTGTCGTGCACATAAAAGAACCCTTGAAAACTGGAATTTGAAGATGAGTAGGTGAAATACCACTGTCCAGGCAAAATGTCTCTCGTAGTAGCTATAAATGCATGGTGCATTTGCCTGTACCACGTTAAGCCCCATTTCATTTCATTTCATAACACGAACAATACATACCAACAGAACTAAGTTAATCCTCTAAATACAAGTCAAGTGATTC